ATATGTATACATACTATTCTATAAATCTATAAAAATTTCGGTTTATTACATTCACATATATGCACACATATATGTGTAGATTGCGTGTACTACCCATAAGGAGAAAATAATATGCAGTGCAGATAAGAAGTTATTAAAAAAAAATTTTAAGTATTTTTATAGTTACTTTGTATTTAAAATCAAATAGAAAACACTAAAATTATGAACGAAATCATGGACTCTAATTATAAAGAAAAAATATTATTATGAGGTCATCGATTCGATAACCTTCTTCTTTTTTCAATCTTCGATTATTTTTCTTCAATTTTTTTTTTCTATTTTAGGTACCTATACTTGTTTTTATGAAATAGAATAAAATAAAATAAAAGTATTAGAAAATTTTTGAAATTATGTCGCTTGTTTGCTGCAACACCGCTGACATAACTCGAATTTTTGCACATTTGAGAAAAGCGAAATTTTAAAGTTCTGGAATTAGTCCAATCAATATTTTGTAATACGAGTATATTGTAAGCGATAATTTTCAAGCTAAAGAGAAATAGTGTTTTAGGACAAAAACGAAATGTTTTATGTACTAATTTTTGTAGAAACAACTCAAAAATTGAATTTTGGAGTTATATCACTATTGCAGTAAACGAATAATTTGTGCACTAAATATTCTTTTTTATTCATTTTTAGTTTGTATATTTTTATCATAATTTTAAAATAAATTATTACTTTTTTTAATTATTTAAAAATATGCGTAAAGTAATTTCGAAAACAAAATGAATTATTCAAATTATGTATAACGTAAGTACCTATTTTTATTATTATTTTAAACTACATAAGGTTCGTAATAGTTTATCAGTTTGCGTGACATTTGTTAAGGGCATAATAATATATATGAGTACATAAAAGGTGACTATAATAAAATATAAAAAAAATTCTAAAATATTTTTTACAAATAAATTTCTAATTATAGCGTGCAGATCGACTGGATATAAGTTTTTCTTAAATTATATCGATACATATATTATTTTCTAATATGTATGTATGTATTTACATTCAGAATAATATGTGCTTGTATTGTACCTATATTGCTCAAAGATATTATCTTTACAATTTAGACATTCTTATCAATTATAAACTTACATTAAACCAAAATACTTACACAAAAACTAATAATAAAATAAACCACATATAAGTTTTGGACAATGTTATTGATATTACAAATCAAAACTACAAAATCTTCAAATGTTGCATTTCGATAAATTTTTACATCAAAAGAAGCACCTTCGAAAATCGTTGCATGTTCAAGAAGTTGGAAGTAATTTTCAAAGATTTTGCAAAAATATTTTAAGTTCGAAAAAAAAAAACACATAAAAAAATGCAAGACACAAAAACTCGGAAAAAGTAAACTACTTACTAGTTCCTGCAGATCTGGAATAATGCAAAAAAAAAATATATTTTTAAGATTTAAGTTAAAAGTTCTTTAAGTGCATATCTGAAATATCGAAAATCTCCAATGTTTTTAATTAGATTATGAGTTCTATATATAAGAAACTAATGATTTGTGAAAAATTTTTAAGAGCTTTTAAGTCTATAATATAAAATAATATAAAGTATTAATTAAAATATATTATTATTAAATAAAAATTTAATTTAATTAAAATATTTTGATTATTAGTATACCTTAAGCTCTTTTCAATAACTTGTTAGAAAATTTTCATTTATCCTTTAAACAATAGCTGCAATACCATCATCATAATTATTATAATTACATTGACCCTAAAAGCATAAGGTCGAAGGATTTTTGGGAGAAAATTATGAATTAATCGAAATAGACAAGATAACTGAAAAAAAAATTATTTAATTTTAATTAATTTTATATTTTAAATATTGAAACATTCATGATTTTATTCATTATTTCTTCCAAATTTTTTACATAATTTGCATTTTATTTTTCTTCATTTTTTTTTACACAATAAAAACATTCATCTATAGTTAAATCGTGATTTTTTCTTTTATTAATCTGCTTTAATTTTTTATATATAATATCTAAATATTTTGAATTTTTTAAACTTATACCAGAAGTAATAAAAATGTTTTTTTTTTTGTTTTTTTTTTTTCTGTTTTTAATTCTAGCTTTATTTTAATTATGAATTTTTTTTTTTATATTTCATTTTTTTTATTTTTAAATTCGTTTTATATATAATTTTTTAATTCTTAATTTTTTTTTATTCTCTATATTTAATTATAATTTTTTATAAAAAATATTCATTTTTATCATTATTAGTTCTTCAAAATGTAAGGCCAAAACTTAATTTAAAAATTGAATTGAAAAAAAAAACAAGAAAAATAAAACACAAAAAAATTGTTAATAAATAAAATATTTAATATAATTAATTATGATTTAGGAAAATATTAAAAAAGAATTCTCACATAACAATATAAATTATGTTTATTATTTAAAAAATTTTATTTCATCGTTATTCAGTTTGCATAAAAAGTTTGATAATTTCTGATTTGTATGTATATATCTTAGACATTTTTAGACCAAAACCGGCTCGAGGCCTATTTCTAAATATTTTAATTTTTGATTTCATGAGAATATTGCATTTTACATAACATAATTTAATTTTATGAAAGAAATAAAAGTAAGATTAAAATAATTTTTAGAAATATTTTCTTAAATCAGATAATTATTGACCATCATTATTTGACTCGTTTTTCATAAATAATAATTATAATAAATTTGCGTGTTTTTTAATTAAAAACTTGCTAGAAAATTTAATAAATTTAAGAAATAGAATTTCTAATAGTAGCATAAATGATTCTAACGAGACTAATATTTTTGAAACTAGGATACAAATAATTTAATAAACATTCAGCAATTAAAATTCTCTCCTCCTTAAAATAAAAATTTTCTTTATATAATTTGTTAGTAATAAAATGAGATATATTTATCAGATAACTTCTACTTATGATAAATAAATTTAGACGTACGGAATTAGAAAAAAAAAAAATTTTTTTTTGTTATCACTTATAATTAATTATTTGTTTTGTAAATATTTATCTCTATAACTTTTATATTAAATTATGAATATTATATAGTATAATTCAAAGAACAAGAGTCTTTAACAAATCAAAGATATACGACTTTTATATTTATATGTGTTGTATTTAATATTTTATTTAGATTATAGAAAATTTTTTAAAAATTAAATATTAATTCCTACAAAAAAAAAAAAAAGAATATTTCTTAAGAAATAAAAAAGCCAAAGTTTATATTATAAGATAATTATATGTTTAATTTTGTTTTTAATATAAAGTTCTTGATTTTATTTTCATTATTACTATTCTTTACATTACTTTTTTTTATTCATTTTTTCATTTTTACTGTATAACATATTAAAAATATTAATAATACTATTATGAATACAATTATTCCTTAAATATTGTTTTAAAAAGATAAAACAGAATTAATAAAATTATAAAAAGTTCGTTGCAATAAATTCAGATTAGGTTTTTGATAAATTTGAGAAAAAAAAAGAAATTTTTTTTTTATATTTTACACATTTATATTCAAATATTGTAATTTAAAACATTTAATTGAAAAATTTTTTTACGGCGGATTTTTATACATATTTTTTTATAATAATCATTAAATTTAATTTATAAACTTATTTAGGTTAAAAGGATCTAATTTATTTTCAAGATTCGATTAAAAAGACTCGATTTTATTTAATTTTTGGGTTAATGTCGTTTTGTGTAAAGTAAGCACAATTTTTATTTAAATTTTGGCTCTGATCACTAAAAATTTAGAAAGAAATAAAAAAAAAAGGTAAATTCAAATAAAAAATTTATTATTACTTAAAAATTTTTTATCATAAAATACATATTATGTATTATTATGTACTTAATTCAGATATTTTCATGATTAAATATTATTACTATTATCGTGGACATATTTAATAATGGATTTAACCAATATTAAATGAAATCGAATTAAAGATATGCATTAAGTGCAACTAAAAAACTTATAGTAAAAATTATTTTAAGTAAACTATTTGATAACTTTATTATTTTTTTTTCATATAAAATGTATATCTTAATATAATTTAACCGTATAACTTAATATAATATATATATATAAAATTAATTTTTATTGTAAGAGAATTTCAGAATCTGTTGTATAAAGGTTAATATATAAGTAAGTTAAGTGAAATTTTTATAAATAATAAAAATTATATTCTACAAAGAGTAAGCTTAATATTTTCTTGAATAAAAGTGGAAAAAGTGATTAAAAGTGTTATTTAATAAAATAAATAATTTCTTAAGGTAATCGATTGTTACTTAACATTCAATTTCAATAAAAATGATGCCATGTCCTAAAAAAATCTTGAATAAATAAACAATATTTGAAAACAAATTATGTGAATTGTAAATTTTAGATGTTTGGTTTTTTACTGTTTGTTTACTTTTATGTAAATATTTCACAATGTGATTTTTAAAAATTTAGATATTTTTTAGAAAAATTTAAATATTTTTAAGTTTTTGAGACAAGCATTTTAAAATAAATACAATTTATACAACAGATTTTTTTTAACGTAAATCAACTTGCAATTTGTTATATTAGAAATATATTAAGTATATTCTTTTAAGGGAACTTATTTTATTGTTTAATTTGGTTGGCAGATTTTCTAAAATAAGAAGAGATAAATTAGAAAAATATATATATATATGTTTTCATGCATGCATATAACTCTACATACATGTATTTAATATAATATAAATAAATTTAAAATATATATTATATAATATATTCTTCATCATATTATATATATATATATTTTTAAAAAAATTGACAAATTTAATCAATTTTTCAAAGTACACAGCATTTTATTTGCTTGTAATATTTATTATTATTTTTAACCCTCTTTTTTTTTTAAGAATTTAAAAAATTATTTGCAATTATATATATAAAAACAGTAACAAAATTCTATTGGATGTACACATATGTTTTTTTTTATTTTATTATACTTTTTAATTTTATTTACTTTTTTTCATTAATAGGAATTATAAATAAAGGAGTGCTTCAGGATTAATAGGTTTAATATAATGTAATAATTAGATCAATTTTTTAATTATGTTTTACAAACTTGGATGAACCTTACTAATCTTAAAATTATGAAAAAAAAAATTAACTCAAAAAACAATAAATACATAAATTTTTAAGAAATTCTTTCTTTCTTTTTTTATGTAATTTTCTTAAAATTATATTCACTTTTATTATACACAGTCATATATTATTGAATATGTTATCAAAAAGAAAAAAAAAACCTGTTCTATTGAAATTAGGAAAATAAATGTTTTAACTTTTAATAAATTTATATATGAAGTAATATACAGAAGAAGCTGAAGCAATAATAGTTTAAAACAAATTTAATGCGCTTAGATCCACTGAGCCATTTTCGATTTTCTGAATTTTCAGTTTTCTACCAATTGTGTTAGGTGAAAAATTGTTTACTAAAAATAATTTTAAGTTGAGAAATTAAGAGTGTTTTCTTTTTATTATTTTTAAACATTTTTTTTGTGATCCAATAACACTCCTTTCTGTACAAAAATTCTCAATGTCTAAATTGGTTTTCGTGACCCTGTATAATTTTTTTTTTTAATTTTTATATTTTCATTTAAAATATAAAAAATAATTTTTAATTTTTACATTGTGAATTAATTTTTGATTAAGTTCGGTTTTAAATAACACCGCTATATATCAACGCACACATTGTTTTTTTCCTATAACTTCCAGCATTATTTTATTCTTCAACTGGTGTAGATGGCGCTGCTCCAGTAGCTGATGTCACAGATATAATAGGAGAATTGGATGCCCTTAACGATGGGCTAGCTTGTGCGCTAAATGAATTATGCGAACCTGAAGAAGATGAAGATGATGATGGTTGTGATGAATCTTCATCATCTTCATCTTGTAATAATTCTAATATAGCTTTTATAAAACTTTCAATTGTTTTCAAATAACATTTTTCTTTTTCTAATTCTTCAATATATTTATCATTTATTTTACTTTTATTAGTCACAGAATTCGGTGCTGGTGGCGTTGACGTTCTAGCGGCTGATGTATTTTCTTCTTCTTTATTACTTAGAGTTTGTTTTAATACATCCTCTGAAACAGACGGTGAAGAATGTTGATCTTCAATTGGTGATATAGGGCTATCAGCATTATTATTATGCTTTGATTCCGTACTATTTTCTAGATTAAGTTTACTACTTTTATCATTTGGTGATGATGTTATCATATTATCTTCATTAGCTTTATTATCAGCTTTATCATTTTTTTTGGCTGAAGAAAGTTGTCCTGAAGTTTTTCCTTCAGAGACTGTACTTTCAGGCTCACCATCTGCTTTTTGTTCAATTTTTGCACCGGCATTACTACTACTTGACGATTCAACTGGTGACATTTTAACTTTCTTTTTGGGTGGTATTAATTCTTCTGCTAAAATAAATAAGTATTAAGTTCCAAAAGCTTTTATTATTTTAAGTTTTTTAAAGTATAATTTAAAAAAATTTATGTAATGATATTCTTTACCTCTATCATAGATCTCAACTTGATTCTTAACCAATGCTACTTTTAACGCAGTTCTCAGTTGTTTTCTTACAGACAGAGGAATTCCAGTTGCCTGAGCAATTATTCGAATTGCGTATAAATCACCGCATAAATCATCTAAATCATCTTTCGTGTGTAATGTGTAGCTGATAGCATATAGCAAACGTGATATTGCTAGACGTGTTGTTACCTAAAATAAAATTTAATTAGAAAAATTTCTGTTATTTTTATTACCATATAATGTTATCATTGTTAAAATAAGTACCGATTCTACTTTTGGATAATAAATTTCTAAGAAATTTCTAATAATCGGATCATTTAACGAAACTCTCTCATCTCTTAACAATATATCAACATATTCGACTAAAACTGGAGTGTTAACTAAAAGTTCGACATATCTAAAAAAAAAATAAATTAATAGATCCTTCTTTGTTATTATTAGTTAAAAATAAATACTTGTTTGTGCTTTTGTTACTAAATATTCCTACCCAAAATTTGGGAAATAAATTAAAATGCAATGGGGCAGCCTCTATAGCAGCTAAACAGCTTAGTTTGACTAATAATTCATTTAACTGATTTGTGTTCACAGCCATTCGCATCATAACATCCAAAAAATCATGATACGGCCGATAAAAAGCCTCCAAATGACAATCATATTCCTTATCGATACCCTTTTGGATAATTTGATTCTGTGGTATACTCATTTGTACCATGGGCCTTGGGGGTCTCGGTGTATTTTTTGATACCGTTGGCCATGGTGTTTTAGCTCCACGCCGTGGAAAATACGGTCCTAAAGGGCCAATCGAATTTGGCGAATTTTGTGCTGAATAATGACAGTGTGTGAATATTGGAGCTAAAATGCTAGTGACATCTAAACTTGGATTGCGGACCATTTCTTTCAGAACATCTAATGTTAGATTACGAATTTCTGGTGGATTATACGTGTTCAGAAAAGTTGCCAAACGTTTTACAGCCTCAGGTAAGCCTTTGATATTAGGTGTCAAACTAGCACTTGCGGCCAAGGATACTGCACTATTCGCAGAAGCCGATTGCGTAGATGCTTGCTGTTGCGGCTGTTGAGAATTTTGCAATTGCGAGTTTTTCGGCTGTTGTGGTTGCTGCTGTGGCATTTTTGTTTTTGCATCTGACATACGGCAGCTTAAGCGTAGGGCACTAACTAATAATAATAATTCAGTTAATAATTCTTGTAAATCACCAGCCACGTGACATGCTGTAGCTTCATGATACATGGAATGTAAAGTGTGCAGAGCGTCAAAGCACATTTCAATTCCTCCATTGTATACAACAAAAAGTCGATCTTCATCGTTATCAACTATTTAACAGAAAATTAAAAATATTATAATTTTTTTTAAATAATGAAAAAAAAACGAAAAGAAAACAAAAAAAAATAAAAAATAAGCAAATGAGTACCTAAAATTCTTAGTGCACTTATTAACGTTCCCCAAGATACTCTACCGTCTAAACTGGATAAGTAAGCTGACAATGTTGTCCTACGGAAACTATTGATCTCATGTTGTTCTTGTTCAGATGAGTCTGGATGCCTTGCTGCAAATAATGTCATCAAGCGAAACAATTCATCAACAGCTGCTGAATACTGTGTTGGATGTGGTGTTATATTTTTAAATGCCCATTGTAAATTTTGATGCGCAGCTAATTGCCTTGTAAGAGCCCTACTCTGTTGGCAGCATAGTCTTAATAAACCATAGTATGCTGGTAACATTGCTCGGTTATATGCCACAATTTCAGAATCATCGTGGTCAGCTCTTAGGTAACATAAAAAATTTGTAATATGCATATTAATTCAGATTATCAAGCGGAATATTTTTTTTTTTAAATCTTACAATATATAATTAAATGCGATATTTCTGGTTATTTCAGGACAATTTGCCACAATTTGAGCGTTTTCTGGGCAGTCAGTTATTGCATGGTGCCAGAATGCTAACAAAGCATGCTTATTATGATGTGCTGGCACACTTGGTTCAGACAAACGTGGATGAAATAAATCCCATAATGCACGCATGTACGGTCCTAACTATTTGGACAATTAAATATAAAAATTAAATGAATATACAGTATGAACAAATATTTTGTGCATTTTAAATTTATTATTACCATTAATTTTTCAACTTTCGTAACCATACAATATGTTAATAAAGTGAAATAGGCCGTGAGCTTCGCTGTTCCATGAATTCCAATATCTGTATATACTCTCGCAGCTCTTAGTAATCTCAAAAGAAGATTAATTATATTATGTAAGATAATTTGTGCATCACTATTCAACTCCCGGTGTTGTGCATTGGAAACCAATTTATGTAAAGAATGAGAGCGATAATTAGTGCGAAAAGATTGTGATGGAACAAGTGATACAAGCAAAAATGAAGCCGCTAAAATATAATTAAAAAAATATAAAAACACATACATATTTTTACACTTAATAATAGATTTTACCATTACGAACTCGGGAGTTATTATGCGCCATTAAAAATTGCTCAACCCAACTTTCTGCACTTTGTAAAATCCATGCGTGTATTATTTTGTTGCGAGGTGCTTGTACAGCTAACCAATCCAAAGCTGATTGTGGACAATATTCTGCTGCATCCCAAACTCTTTGAAGAACTAATTGAGAAAAACACGGTAACCCTGACGGCCCCCCCTGGGTTTCCGTCAATAAAGTTAAAAGTTTAAAAAATGGTCCACATAGCTCAGTATGTTTAGTGACTGATGCAAAAAGCATAGTTATTATTTGATTTGCTAATCTTTCATCCCAACGGCATAAAGCATGAATCAAGTGTCTCGTTTGATGCGGATTAATATTGTCCCGAATTTGTTGGTAAAGAAATGGAAATCCCTTAATTGAGAAAAACCTTATTTTTCGCAAAATTAAGCTCAACTATTTTACTTACTTTTCCTCCAGCAATGGCATTATAGTCTTTGGGTGATAAGTGTAAACGAAAATCTGGCCCTCTGGATCTTTCAACAAGTGATGCTACTAAAGCAATCATTTTATCCAAAGATGCTGGACGTGCTTTATCAATTGAAAGAGCTTCGTCAGAGGAATTTTCATCATCTCCAGATCCAGAATCGAGCTGTAATTAAATTAATTTTTATTTAAAATGAATTTAATCGTATTTTTTTTTTCATTTACGCAATCTTGGTTTTTATTTCCTAAATAGAAATCAGCAACACTGCGAATAACGTTTATTCTTAACAAAAATAATGCTTCTTCGTCTCCCATTCTAGAAAATTCATAAAGTAGCCCAAAAAATTCTGAAAGATGGCGAAGATGGGGTTTCGCTCCATGCTCCATCAGATGTATTAAAGATTTAATGAATTTTGTTGTACATGAATGATTTCCAATACTATCTTTCCCATCGTCTCCAGAATCAGTTTTTAAATACAAAGTATAATGAGATGGCCTAAAAAAGTGGACTATTTATAAAGAAAATTTAAATTTAAAAGAGTTCATACCTTAATCGCTGAATCACATGAATAACTAAACGTTGAAACATTTGTCGTACCATTTGATTTGGGCACTGAATTAATACTTGAACTGGCCACCATGGTTCCGCTGACATATGTGTTAAAAACCATTCACAAGCTTCTTGACTAGCATTAAATTGCTTTGTCAAAAGCTCCACCCATAATACCATCGTTGGCTAAAAAAATAAAAATTTAAAATAATTATAAGTGAAATTTATAACTATTTTACTATTACTTTTTCTTTAGCGTGAATAAAAGTTTCTATAAAGAATGACACAGATAACTGAGCTGCCATACACGTAACATCAGTCTGCATCAATAGCGTTTGCGGAATGTGACCACATATTTGCCACATAAAACTAAAATTTAGAATTTTTTATTCGAATATTAAGATATAAATAATATTGAGTTTTGTACTTAAAATATGTATGTTCGAATATGTTCTTATCTTGCAAAAATTGTTTATTATCTTGCCATATCCAGTCTTCTAGCTCTTTACTTAATGTTATTCTGTTTGGGTCATTTACGGCATTTCTATCACTACTTTGTAACAAAGGTAATTTTTGTTGTTGCTGTTGCTGCTGCGATGTACTTGGGGATAAAGAACACGACGAGGATGTTGATGATGTTGATGTTGATGCTGTTACTGCTATCGATGATAATCCGCATATTTGGTTAGAATTTAATATAGAATTTGCATTACTATTGCCACATTGAGTTGTGTTTGCTTTATTTTCATTACTTTTATTGCTAACATCTATATCACAAACATTTTCACCTAAATTACTATTAACTTTTTGCATGTTGGTTAATTTATTATTTTCAGTCTCATGTTGTATGTCTATAATTGAATTGGATTGATTATCGGCAGCAGTACTTGTTGTTGCCTTACAGTTAACAAAGTCAGTGTTTTGATGGCTTTGTTTGCGATCCAATGATATTCGACGTTCATAAAAGAGCATATAAGCTGAATTTGTTTTTTCAAAACTAAAATCTAAATATTTTTCGGTAACGGAATCGTAAGTTTTGCTGGTCATTTCGCCACCGAAGCATTCAGATGCGATTTGTGATGGATCGAAAGGTTTGACTTCCGCATCATTAAATAAAAACCATTTCTCCTGATGATGTGGATTATTCTGTTGTTGAATAGTATTTGTTTCATTTCTTTCCTTGATAAAACTGTAATAGTGGCCACCATCAGCAGTTCCTGTATGAACTGTTATTCCTACCAAATCGTATCTAAAAATGAAAAAATGTTTCAAATAATTCTTTATGTTGAGTTTTTGTATTACTCATAATATCCACTTTGTTCATCGTCATCATCTTCACTTTCATCTGGTATTCCATTGCTTTTCATTTTTGAATCAGTATTTTCTTTTTCAACTTCTTTCAGTAATTTTTCACTCAGCTTTCGCTCACGTTTTCGCCTTTTATCCTCTAAATAATAAATTTAATATTTAGTAAACTATAAAAACAAAAAATTTTACAGCAATTGTGCTTAAAAATTTGCTCTAGACAGAAAATTGTAGGGTAAAAAAAAATTTTTTTTTTTCATAAATTTTAAAAAATTTTTGATTATACGAATTTCGTTGATTAATTTTTTCGTTGAATTGCATTAAACCTTCATTGCTTCTAATGGAAACAATTGTCTGGGGATTACTTTAATCCGAAATCAAAATAAAATTATATTTACCTTGATATTGTTGAGGCATCAGAGTTTTTTCAACATAATCCGACATATCTAACCGCATTGGAAAAGAGAAATGTGTGTTTACTTTCTCTTTTAGCATTGTCAACATATTGAAAGTGTATCGCATAGTATTAAAACACAAAATTTGAGGTAATTTTTTAAAGCATGCTCTTTTTTCTGCTCTCACTTTTTTTCCACACTGCGAGCATGTGTACATATTATCACCTTCTAAAGTGTCTTTGACAGTTACCTCGTCTAAAGATTCTTGTAAATTTCGCATATCTGCGACTTGGCAACGTACTGTATAAAATTCTTCGGCCGTACGACTAACATGGCCGCAATCTAACGAAACCACATTATTGCTTTGAGTACCAGAAAATAATTTTTTAACAAGTGTTTTTAGCTCTGGCGTCATTTCTTCCAATTTAGAAACTAAATCTATGAAAAATTCCGCCATATCTTTTTGTTCACCGGTGTTTAATGGTTGATGGTCCATTTGATATACACGACAAAAGGATCTTGGATTATACGATTTTCGTTCTGATTCTAATAAGTAAGCAAACATTCGTTGTAATTCATGTAATGTTGGAGCATGTTTTTTTGCCATTTGTGGTGGAACGCTTAAAATAGCTCTACGGGCTTGGGGCATCATATAAAGATGCTGAACACATGAAGCCATATAACAAGTTGCACCTAAATTTGTTAAACCTACATAGCCACATTCACTGCGTCCATCATCACGAGGCCAATAATCCCAAGGGTATGGCGGATGTGGTCCAGGACGATGTTGTTCCAATAGCTTTTTATGCAATATTTGATAATTATGTGGAGCGTTCTTACATAGTTCTACAAGTAAATCATAAGCAGCAGCTCGAGAGGCTTGTGACTTGCATTTTGGTTTTTGACGATCTGCGGGTGATGGTAAATCAAATAAAAATAAAAAAATCTTATCTATAAATGTTTGCGCCTGTTGGCTGTATTTATATGGGGGATCATATTTTATTAAATTTGTCATTAAATTTAGAAGTCCCACTAAACCATCATCTTGTAAACCATGTCGAGTTTCATAAAAATCCCTATCAAGAATACTTTTGGTTAAATTGCAACAAAGCCGTTCAATATCTAAAGAATTATGTGAAGAATCGTCGAAACATTCTTTTATCATATCGGGTGACAATGTGTCTACAAGCCTAGAAAGTAACCAAAAATAATCGCGGCAAGCTGGACCATACGGCTCTTTTCCTGTAAAAACAAAAATTTATTTAATATTTTTTTTTTCAACTCTTCTTAATTCACCTTCTTCGTGATGAGCAGAAACAATATGTTGGGCTGCAGATCCGGAATAACAATGTGAGGTCATTTTTTCCGCGATAGGCAAATACGAGACCAATTTTTGCAAAAGAGGTCCTAATAAATCTGGAAAAGTTTTTGAGTTACCCAAACAAATACGGTAAACCCCGGCACAAATTTCACGTCGAACTGCAGGTTCAGGATCATCTAAAATAAATTTTTGCAACCATCCCGAGTACTCTTGCTTGGACCATAATAGTTCTCTAGCTAATTTTGATGCATGAACAAAACTAACTAAAATATTCATTACAAATTGAACTACTTGGGCTCGACCCCAAAAACCAGTTCTTAATTGCAATTGATTCAAACTATGTTGATGAGCAGACTCATCATGCAAAATAGATGCGAGACGTTTTAGTGTTCCGTCTACCTCCATCATTTCTAGCATAAATGAATGGGGTTTTGGTATAACTAACAGCATATCATCCGGTTTAAGTTCTTCAAATCCCAAAATACAAATAATTCTAAGTAAACTAGCTAAACAATCGTGACGCCATTCGTTATATTTATCTTCAGAATGATAACTATTTTGCAAAAGCCCCGAAATAAATATATCGAATAAATGTTGCATTCCACCACATTTAATGAAAACTTCATTCCAACGAAGCCGACTATGAGTTTCTTCCTTGAATTCTATGGACGACGACTCTCCCAAATCGATATTCACATTTTCTTTATTTTCTTCCTGAGTAATTTTATTGATAGAAGAATCTAAAACAAATAGCATATCACTTGTCATATATGTTTCATGAAAATATTTATTAGCCTTACCTTTGATTGACTCATCTTCCGAATCTTTTAACGTAGAACAACCTTTGTTTTCCTTTTTTTCAATACTATCAATTTTATCATCACTTGAAGATTTTTTCTTTTGATCTTCACCTGATTTTTCAGCTTCATCTGACGATGACTTTTTAAGGGTCCTCTTCGTTTTAGCAGATCCAGAATTACTGCCACGTTGAACAATTTTAGGTTGTATTAATTTGAAACTTGAATGTTCATTATTTCCTGCCGAATTTCCACAACATCCTTGCTGTTGTTTTGTTTTCAAAGCTAAGGTTTCTACGATATATAGCGAGTACATAAATTTTTGTAAATTATTTGGATCTAATAGTTCCGCAATTTTTTGTTTTAAGCGATCACCGGGATTTTTATCATCAGATTCACAGCTTGAAGAATCTAGGTCGACATAATCCGTAGACATATTACCTTCGCCGCGAATTGTTTGCACAGCCTGTAAATCCTTATGTAAATTTTTAAAAGATTCTAATAAATTTGGGTCTGTTGGAAGAATTGCAAGTATATCCCAAATTCGACGGGATAAAATTTGTGCTTTTATGTGAGGTTGGAAATTTGTACATTTTCCTTGCATTTTCATGTCACCTAAAGTTTGCATCAAACGAAATAATTCTTCTAAGTATTTTGGTTGCAATAGTAAAACGGTTGGTAGACATTCCTTTGGTGGAGGTGGTTGTAATGTTGGATGATCGAGTGGTTCCTTTCGGCGAGCTCCTCTTCCACCAAGGGAAACGTATATGATCTGGTTGTCCTTAAAACCAACATCACCCAAACTCCTTTCATCATACTCTGAAGTTAACTCTTGACCTTGAGTTATAATTCTAAGCGGCCCTTCGCTAAGTAATAAACCTAAGACCGGAGCTGACACGCCAGCAGTTTTTGCTCCACCTTGCAATGTTTCCCACCTTAAAAGAGAATATTTTAATTGTAAAAGATTTTTTAAGAATGTTAATTTATTTATTAAATTTACCACTTAGAAATTTCTGCCTTAAGCTCGGCAATTAAATCACACGCGTGCATATGCAACACAGATTTTTCAGATAATCCAGCTGGTTGCAAAATTATCCTTATTGGTGGTCCGGATCCTTCATTTCTCAAGTTACTATGAGAACCAATCCCTTTACCTTCGAGAGCCCAACGCCTTAAATGAAAAGCATATCTTCTTCTAAATGTTTCCAAATGTGTATTTAACAGCATTAAAGCTCTTTGGACACACATAAGAGCATGGTCTTGATTATCTGAGGCTTTTAAGTCTTCAGCTGCTTGAATTAAATGATCCATACATTGTGCAACAAATTCTTTTTCTAGCTTTAATTGCTGTCCCATATAAAAAGAATTAATATACTGAATTGCCGCTAGTGATACTTCCGTGTTGTGAGCTCTTAAAGCTATTTTCCACAGGTGATTCATGCCAACAATATTAGCAGCCGAAGCAGTTGATTCATCCGCACCTACACCAGATTGTTTCTCATAATGCGCTATAGCTAGGCGTGCTAAACTACATAATTGCTGAAATAAACCTAAAGCTACCATAGAAATTCCTTCTGGTTTTAGTTCTGGCAATTTTTTTAAATATAAGTGTTGTAATGTTTCTATGCCGAGAGCATGTTGCTCAATGCCTTTTGCTTGAACTTGTAACCATGCAAATAAACAATCGGCGCATTCTATATCATTTGCTAACCAATCCCATAAAGCGTCAACTTGTTCTAAACTTAATCTAAATGATTTCGGCGATCCAAGACAACTAAATAGAGATGTTAAAAACTGCAGTCTAACTTGAACTTGTGTTATATGAGAATACATTGGCTGACCGTTTTCTTTTAGAACTTGTCCCTCATTATTGTTTTTCATTGAATTAGCATAAAATTTTATATTATTAAAAAAGTGAAACATCATCTTATGCTGCCTTTCAGCCCACATCGTCAACTGATGTGTGTCCGAAGAGCGAAATTGTTGAAATGATGCAAACAATTTTGGTAATAAACGTAAACTAACTATAACAGTACGATTTGCAGCTAAATTTTGTAAACAACCTTCAATAAACTTAGTACGTAATAACTTATTCATACTGAAACACAACAAAGCACCTAAAGCCTTTTCTGCTTCCATAGCTAATGACTCTCCAAGTTGACCCTAGAAATGAAGATTTTACATATTAAACCTTTACCTATTCATTATTAAAGAGAATTAACAATATCTTACAATTTTATCATCTTGAAGTAGGTCCCACAATAAGGTGTTTCCTGGTTTGCAAACATCCATAATTTTAAATATTGGAACATTTTCTTCTTTCGAAGTTACTGAACTAATTCCTGATGTATTTGCAGCATTTGCAGGGACTGCATTAATTTCTTCAATTTTGGCTCCTGATGTAGGGGTATTTTTTCTATTTCTATTTCGATTTTTATCACTATTTGATTCGTCATGAGTAGCACCACTTGAATTTCCAGTTATATTATTGCCAGTAGCACCACTTGTACTACTACCACTGCCATTTGGATTATCTCGAATTGCGATAGGCATTGTAAATGATGGTAAACAATTGTGATTCTTGCTAACTAGTTGAGCTAATTCCTCCTCACAAGGAGAATCATCATCATCAAAGTCTGCCATATTCTTTTCAGATTTGTTACTCATTGGCGATGAATAGCTTTCATCATTTTCTCCACCACTTAATAATTCGTTTAGATGAGTATCAGCAATAGCTCGTATAAAAGGACCGTCTGGAGCATTGTGAATACTTAAAACTCGTTGTATTTGGGATGGATCACTGCAATCTGAGTCTACTATGCCGACTTCTCCATCGCTATGAGATTCTGCATCCCATATTGCTTCAACGAATTCATGAGCTAAACGAGTGAGATGTGCATTGTTGTTTTTTCGACGTTTACGTATTTTTTTTCTTGCAACATCCTCAGCCTGAACACAATCTTCATCACTACTTGTGTTTTCTTCCAAATTAGAGAGACGTCTTCCTTTTAACTGAATTCTAAAATTTAAAGAAAAATTTGAACCCATAATTCTAAAAAACATATTCTTATAAAATTTTTCTATGTAATATATTACTCACGGAGATGAATTTTTTGCTTTCACATTAGCTATTTCTTCCGCAATATGTTGTTTTGCTTTATTTATTTCTGAAATAATAAATGAAAATACACTCAAGCACAAAAAATATAGTGAAGAATAATATTTTACCTTCAGCATTAGAGCAACCATGATGTTTCCGTCTTGCTTGTTTGCAAGGGGGTGCCCCAAAATCGGAGCAATCATTTCCTTCTAAATCCATGTGACTTTTATGACTAACTGAAGAGCTATCATCATCTTGTTGATCTTCTTCGGTATTACTGCCGTCAATACTAACACTATTTTCGGAACTAATTGCAACTACAGTATTCTGCGCTAGGTTATCAGTTGGCAAATCAAGTTGAGATCTGACACCGTCACGCGACCAAATTAACTTTGTTAACGCTGATATGATATAAATACTTTGCTCAGTATGTTCTTTCGGGTCAAGACGACACAACAGTGAATATAAATGCATTGCAGGTCGGGGCGCTAAATTTTTAACTAATGATGGAAGAATATCATATACCGGTTTTGAACAGTGTTTGAGTTGTGCTGCTTGCCATATTAAATTGATATGGTCCTCAGTTATTTGATTCTCAACAGCCAAAAAATTAAGAACTATATGGGATTGTTTAATAACTTCAACATGCAGATTTGGTCCAAATAAATGTTGTATTATTTGATTTTCAGTTAACCAGTCACCCAATTTTTGTCCAACTACTTCAACTTCACCAACTGTTTCCGTTGTGCAAATTTCATTAAACAAATTAATATGAGCATTTATTTGAGCCATTCCTATAATTGATAAAGTAATATTAGAATATGAAAAAAATGTGCTTATAGTGTATAAAAATTTAAAAACTTACCTGCTAATCTCATTGTCAAAGTACTTGAAGTAAAGTATTTATAAGCCAAGGCAAGACCTTCAACATCAAAATTAATTGAAGAATCTAGTGGATCTCTAATTGCAGACCATACAAAATCAGCCATTGAACGTGTAGCAGGTGATCTTAAATCTTGATCTGATAACTTACACATGTAATGCAAGACACTACTACGTAAAGGTAAAAATAACTGTAGAATGCAACGGTAATTTAACCACAGTTTTATATTTGAAACTGTTGCAGTAATAGCATGGGCTGTTGTTACTGGCAAATTTGATTGTTCAAAACACAACATCATAGCTTGAAACCCACCACTGTTGCAAAACAATGCAACATTTCTTAACAAAAATGCTGGAATCTCATTATCATGCAAATCACAAAATGTACTCAAATTTTGAGCTTCTTCAGTACTAATTTCATCGAGACGCGAATGCACACCATGTTTGTATGCAATATATAAGGGAAAGTTTAATAAAAATGTTTTGGACACTAATACTAAAAGTTTTTCGACTTCTGGTAAAATCCACTTTTCTTCATGTTTCATATAACAAAATTCCTCCTTTTTACGATTCTCTTCATCTGAAGAATTGGAATCCTTGGATTGTAGTTGTTGTTTTAGTTTCTGTTCAGAGGATTGTTTTTGATTTGGGTTTGTTAAACATATTAGTTCTTCTATTAGCTTTTTTATATTTTTAAGATTGTATACTGAAAAACATATCATGGACTGAATCACTAAATTAAACCTTTCAAAGTTCTTTTGATCGCGGTATATGCACATGCATTGCCTAAAAAAGCATAATTAAATTTTTGTTTTAATTTTTAATAATTTAAAATATTTACCTTTGTGGCCAAGATTGTGTATAGCCAAATATAATTTCTATTTCACTTTTAAGTAATGCTAAGTGTTTGGAATCATTACTTGTAAGTCTTGCTTCATCTAACAAAAACAAAAAACATTTTAAAATATTTTATTATTGTATTTCATTAAAAAATATAGATATTTTTTTTAAGAATTTTTTTTTTAATTAGGTACAAAGCATTTTTTTTAATTTTATTTTAACCGGTAAATCCCATTTTATTTCTGAAATCTTTCCAATTTTATTTAACAATACCTACTTTTCATTCTTTTAACTAAAATTTGCACAAGAAATTCTTAAAAGTGGGTATAGGTACATATATACATACAATGTATATTCATTTGAACAATACCATAATAAATTTTCTTTAGAATTTGTGTATGCAAAGTGGTAGATAACTAAATGCCGGTAATTCCGCAATTAAGAAAGAAAATACTAATAAAAAAAATATTGTTAAGCAACAAAATTTTTCAAAAGCAAATTACTAATAGAAAAATATAAAAATTTTTGAAGTTACTCTTTCTTCAATCAGTGATTGCAAGAAATGAGCACCATTGTACTAATTTCTAATTTTACTCTAATATTAAAATGCAATATCATTTGTAATTTGTTAAAATATTTAAATTTCACTCAAATTCTATAAATATTGTTACTTTCAAATAATTGTTAGAAAAAATTTGGCTAAATTTAAGTATATATTTTTTAAAATGTAATCTTTAACTTAATTTTTACCAATTTTTGGAAAAATACATTTTTTCATACACGAAATCTGAAAAAAAAACTTACAAGATGCAAGGAGATGTAAAAACTCGTTGCAATCACACATTTTTCTCACATCCCAAAGATAAAACTTTAAGAAATCCACTCAATAGGTTTTAAATAAATTATATTAAAAATAAATTTAATGCAAGTAAGATATTTTACAATTTTCTTTTTGTTCAATTCTTTTAAAAAAATTTTCTTTCTTCAAATCCTTCAATCAAGTCTCGCTGTCAGATAGCCATCTTTGATATTTGCATGCTGCCAGTTTCGAAACTAAATTTTGACAAGAAATATGTTGACAGTCGGTTCTTGGAAGTAACCTTACTGGAAAACATAATGTTAAAAGTGGTTTACGACATTATCATTACTACCATGAAAATCCGGATTGTTTTAAATTAGTTCCACTAATTTTGCAAACTACTTTCAATTTGTTTTTTAATTTATTCATTAAAATAAAGTTTATTGAATTACATTTACCTTAATATAGATATTTAAAAAATATAATTATTTTAATACAAATGTTTCACTTCGTTTTTAAATAGCTTCCATAAAATCTTTAAAATAATTCGAACTAATAACTCCAAATAACAAAATTCTAAAAATTACTTCTTGCACATACAATTTCCATTCGTCTAGCTTTGACATTTCTCTCGAAATATTTTCATTCGCTTCGCGAACCATAATATTATTTGAACGAATTTGAGAATAGTGACATTCGCTTTGCGAACATTTATTTCAATTTTCTTTTAAAATAAATGTCTTCTTTTTATGAATTTAATGAATTTAATTTTATGAATTTAATTAATTTATTTTTGAGAAGTACTTTATTTTAAATTTTTTTCTGGTGAAATGGAAGTTAAAGTGTTAAAATTAATTTAGAAGTTTATTTAAGGGCACAATAATTGTTTAAATTAACGAAAAAATTTAAAATATTTAAGCATACTGAATTTTTTCATAAATACGTACATAAATATTTCAAAATTATAAAATTTTAAATTATTGGAAAAATTATTTTTCAATAATGTAAAAAAATATTTGATTTAAAAAGAAATTTTCTTGAAATGATCATTTTTGAAAGCTCTTCTAGTTCGTGAAATTTAATGCCAAATCAAAATCGAAGTGCCATCAGATATGCAAAAAATTGAGGACCTAATCATCTATGTTGCTATCTCGCTATTTTACTCGGAAAGTGACAAGAAAGTTAGTAACTATCATACATGTACTTGTATATTGTAATTTTCGAGTGAGAAGAATTTTTTGATATTGCGTATCTCATTTTTTTTCAAAATATAGATACAAAATTTATTTACTTTGTTTTTGAAAGTGAGGCCTTCAGTCGATAATTTGAGAAAAAATGAAAAAATCCAATTGAAAAAATGAGTAATCTTATTGAAAAAGTGAAATATCCAAAAAAAGTGAGTAAAAAAGCTGTAAAGTGTAATATATGTACATTTGTTTTGTCTTTCTTTAATATTTGAAAATATTTTGTTTTCTTTTAGAAATCAAATCGATTTGATTTGTTTGAGCAATGCACTATTTTCTGATTAAATCGTCGCAAGATGTCAATATTGATCTAAACTTCCATATAATGATTGAAAAATTATTTTCTGATAAAAAAAACCAAAAAAACATATGTGTCGTGAATTTAACATGGCTCCGAACAACTACACTGTCGGTCACAATATAAATTTTTCCACATTTATGACCACTTATCAAATAATATATATAATACACTTATTATAATTTATATTATCGATATTGGCTCAGTCAACAATAGTCGACAAACAAGCGGAAAATTGTTTTTATTTCAAGTAAGATAAGAAATGGAGTAAAGTTCACTACATTTAAGTAAGAAAGTTAACTTCGTTGGTAGAATAAAGAACGTTACAAAAATTTCTGAATTTTACAAGATTCATATTGTTATATAAAATTTGGTGGAAGAGGTAAAATTCAGCTATTTACTTGATCAAAAAAACGAAAATAAGAGTTTGTATTTTAAAATTTTAGTAATTGCATAATATACGACGGATAATTATAAGGCATAACATCGGAGCTTTTGTTAAAGTGGTGGTTTAAATATAATTACTAATCAAAAGTTTTAAAGCTCCGAAATTAAGAAATTAAGCTTGCTATCTAAAACTGTATTTCAGGTATGTGCAATGTGATAAATATTTTTTAATATTATACTTTTAAAGTTAGAATAGCTAATTTGATAAAAATTTCTATTCGTTAGCAAATAAATGTTGATTACGAAACTATATGTGTACACAGATATGTATGTACATGTATGCGTATATGGGAACCCACTGAAATACTAACTGTAAACAAGTGAATACCTACCTACCTTGATTTCTTATGGGTTATCGGCATAAAGAGATTTTGGTTTTTTTTGGCGCCATCTACCTACTGTTATTGCTTTTGAAAAAGCTATTGAAACTTAAACCATAAAATTTAAACGTTAACAAATTTTTCTTTGCACCAAATTAATTAAAAATGTTGTTCCAAACCATAAGAATTCATGTTCTTTTAATAATTTTTTGTAAATTGCAAAGTCCAACATTTCAGATTAATAAGCTGGAAACTTACACAGGCTCCTAAGTGTGTACATTTAAAGCAAATTTTTAAAAATCTCGTTATTAAAATAACTGCAATTCTTAGCCCTAACGTTATGAAAATTGTTTAAAGGGAACTACCTACATATTTACTATGTATGTACATATATATGCATCCTAAATATAACGTTAATTTAATAACCTGTTAAATTAATAGCTTGACAATATGTTCTGTCGTATCATTTTACTGGGATTTTCTATTCTTCCTTAAAAAAATTTATATTTTGGGAGGTCATGGTCTTATGAAACCAGTTTTTCTTCATTAAAATTTGAATAAAAACAAACATTTCATTTGCATGAAATCATTAAAGTATTCCAGAAAAATATAAAAATACGAATCCAACTGTTCTGGTAATTGTAATTTTTTTTTACTTTTATGGTAAAGTATTTTCATTTTTTTCATACATTATTTTTATGAACGTATTTGTATGATGTTTTTATGAACGTATTTGTCGCTTGAGGCGATTATAACGATTATGACGACAATTATTCGAATTATGACTAATGCAGTATTACCGCAATTTAGAAGACCTTTTTGTCACAACAAAAAAAGGGCATTTAAAACTCGTAATATTTATAATTTTAAATGATTTGTAACAATTTTTATTTAACTTTTACCATACCCTTTTATAAATAAAAAAAATTGCCCACTGAATTCCTTTTTTGTAATGTCTTCAAATTGCACTTTGGCAAATATGTTTGTACCATCCTTTGCTTTCACTACATCTTGGATTAACACATAAGGGACAACGAATTAAAAATTTTGGATTGATTAATTTATTAGATTTGAGATGAGTTGCTACAACATCTGCTAATGCTTGAATGAAAATTGGATGATCATTTGGAGCTGCCGCACGTTTTATTTGTTCAACCCCAATCTTAAAATAATTTTGCATTCATAAAATTTTTTTTTATAAAAAGGAATGAATACACATACCTCTTTCGCAAGTTCATCACAGTACTCTATATCTAGTTCGTGTAAGGTTTCTATGTGTTCATTGACAAAAGCAATCGGCACTAGTATAAAATTCTTATGACCACGTTTGACATATCCCTAAGAATACAACAAAAAAATTTAGATTTCGTATTGTTTTGCCAATTTTTCAATGTGCTGAACCTTTAAAGCATCATCAGTTGCTGGTTCTAGCCAAGGAAGTGGCCCAACTTTGGATTGCCAAGCTAAACAATGTGGATTACTATAAACTAATTCTTTCATAACCATTTCTACTGAAGCTCCAACTTCAGATGGATACGCGTCACCCCTATTTACAGCTTTCAGCGGCAGTGAGTGGGCGGAAAACAGTAAAACAACATCTTTGCGTTTGTCTTCAGGAAACTTAATAAGTTCAGCTTTTATACGTTCAGCAAATACTTTTACTAAAAGAGGATGTGTTGCCCAACGATCAATTACACTAAATTTTATGTTTGATGGAAGTTTACTACAAAGATTACTTTATTATTTGTAACAAATTTAAAATAAGCATTACTTACTTCTTTTTATAGTGATCATAAATTGAATTAAAGCTAGATCCGGATGTAGCACAACTATACTGAGGATATTGCGAAAATATAACAACTCGTTCTGGTTTATCTCTAAATTATAAGAATTTCAGAATTGAGTTCAATATTAAAAATTTTATCAACTTACCGTTCAATTTCACTCAGTGTATCTTCTGTAAATGGGCGAACATATCTAAAGCCAACGTAGTGCTTATGTGGGCCAGTTTCTGGCGATATCTTATCCAATTCTTTACACATTAGTTCGCCTTGAGTATTTGTCCATTTTAATATTGGAGATCCTCCACCAATTTCTTTATATTTTTTTTGAACCTCGGGAGTGCGACGTTGTGCTATCCATGGCCCCAACTTTCCTTGCACGGGTAATTGAATCATATCTCGATCAGTCATTATTCTTAATAAATAATCATGAACTTCATCTGTTGTTTCTGGGCCACCCATATTCAACATTAAAACTGCTGTTTTTGGTTGATTATAAATAGACGTTGTTGAAAAGCCAACCTTACCCAGTCTTGAAACGTTCACTGTATTTAAAATTGTAGTAAAAATTATGAATTATAAAAATTCAATGCATTTATTTTAACTCACATCTATGAAAAATACTGTTTAACATTTTTATTTAGTTATTTCTTCCTCGCAATTACTAAAAGTAATACAAAAATTCTATTTGTTATGGACAAAAAATTAAATGTCACCGGTAAATGTGCAACTAATTGGAAAAATGAAAATGCACTTAATTTAACATAAACAAATAAATATCACCTTTGTTTTGAAGTAAATCATAATGCTGTCAGCTGTCAATTTAAAGTCCCGTTTACACATCAAACAATGTGTAAATTATTTCATATACAAAATTTTGTATGTAATGTTACACGCATAAGATAATGAAAAAAGACAATAAAAAACGCCAGCTAAAATAGGAATTCAAAATTCGCGGTGGTAATTTGGTTTGATTTTGGGTAGTCTCATTTAAATATGAATTCTGACATTTCGCCGCAGAAAATCGCTCTTGTTCTGTTTTCAGTTTCAAGAAGCCATAAAACGGTTATTCATTTTTTTCTTCCAAATATGGTTTAGCGGGAAAATAATCGGGTATTTTGACAGTTCTAGTAGTTTCTATTAGTCATATAAAGGTATTTCTTATGTCTAATATTGCCTATTTATGTACACAGATGTGCATGTATGTAGGTATAGCATGCCAAAATTTATGACGATTTGTTCACTTCGTTTGGAAGTTATGGGTTAAGCTATAAGAAACCACTTTTCCTAAATTAATTTGAACTTAATTCAGACTTTATTTTAGATTTTTTTTATAGAAAGTAGCTCTTTTCTATCTCAAAGAAATTGTCAATTTCCATTATCTTACACAGTAATTCATGGTGGTAAAAGCCACCACTCGCAGTAAGTTCGCTAAATTTGATTTATTAAAACAATAAATAATAGGTTTTTAAAATATTTTATTTGACTTACATATATAATATTTAGTATTCATCGTTTTATTTTTATTTTAAATTTTTAAATTTTAAATTATGTATGTATGTTCCAATCACAATTCATATCTTTATAAAGAAATTTGTTTTCACATAAATGGCTGTTCTTTTTTCAGTATAATAATTTTAAAATCAAAACATTCAATATAATCACAAATTGTGATTAATTATTAATGATATATTTAGTACGTAATTAAAATAAAATACTTATTAAAGTTTTAAATTATCCCAAAATTGAGATTTTATTAACTGTAGAAGAATAAATTAATAAAAATGTGTAGAAAAATAATTTATATTCTAATATTTTGCTTTATTAGATTGAAAACATTTCAACTAAAGTACATATTGCATATTATGTACAATATAAAGTAATTTTTTTGTTTGCAAAAATTCATCATATAATTAAAGCTTCCATTAAATACATACAATGGTAAATACTTTAAAAAAGTAATAAACTATGTGATGCTTATCTTAAAATTTATAACTTTCTTTTTTTTCAGAAATCTAATTTTGTTAAGCCTGATGTAATGGCCTGTTTTCAATCCATCGTTTGTTTTAGGAATAATAAGGTAAATTATCATCCTTTTCCGACAAAAATTAAATAATGAACATTTTGTTTTTAGGTCTCCACTTTCACTTCGATAAAGACGGCTATTTATTTTTGAATTATAATGTGCTAAAAAAGTACATATTATGTAGGTATGGTCAGTAGGTAAAATACCATTTTAGAGAAAAGTGACAAAATTATTTCGGTCTCAAAACTAGAAGAGAATTTAATATGGTTTAAAATTTTTTGATAAATGAATGGCGAGTTTTTAATAGGCTAGAAGACTTGGGAAATGGTAGAACGTTGTGGCAAGGATGCCAAATATTGAGGAATTTAAATTGATGTCAAATTTGTACAGGTGATAATTTATTAAAGTTTTCGTTTGTTTTAAGAAACATTGTCTCAATAACAAAACGATAAGTTTGAAGGTACGAATTAATATAAGTATGTATGTAATAGAAAAATTCTTTAAATATATTTGAATTTTCAATAATTTAAAATTTTATGCGCTGTTAAAATATTTGTACTCCTATTTTGTATAACATAAAATATATATTATATCCAATTTTAAATCAAATTATTTATTTTCACCAAAATTTTAGTAAATAAGTGATTATTTTTTTAATTATAAGAAATATTTTATACTTTAATAGTGTATATTATTTAAAATATATAAAATTTAAAATAGATTTTTTTATTTCTTTAACAGAGTTAATAGTAAAATTATTTAATCAAAAGTACATGTACACAGGCAGTAACCATATTGTAATTTTGAAAGCCCAAAAATTTAATTAAATAATTATTTCATAGTTTCTCCTCCTCTTTTTTTTCAATTCTATTTATTCTCTATTTGTTTTTCAAAGATATTTTATTTTTTTTTCTATTTTTATTAGAAATACAATTAAAAATATAAAGATTAATTTTCTATTTTTCATTTTTTCAATTCAGTTTGTTTGTTTGTGCTATTTTGTTATACAAGTATGTAGTTACTATGTCGTTAATTATTATTGTTATTTATGTAGAAAAAAGTTTTCATATATTGTTTCATTGTTTTATTTTTGTACTTTATAAGGAATTTTGTTTTTGTATTTTATTTATGATTATTTTATTTTTTTTTTCTATATAAAATTTTTAAAATTGCATATAAAATATACAAAAATGTCAATGAAGTTAATAATTAAAATTTGCAAAAAAAAAAAAAAAATGTTAAATTATGTTCAAAAATATTTATTCAATATGTTTGATGTTTATTTTTCCGAATCTTCAATTTTTGTAAATGTTTTAAAATTAAGACAATTTCCTACAACTCGAAAAAAATATTTTATTAGTGCTTCTACGATAATTTTTAATTTAATAAACACTTTATTATCTTCGAAAAAGTTTTGATTGGTTTTGAAGAACCATCGATATTTTCAATATAATTTATTTTCTGCGCTGAATTATGTAGTAAAACAGCATTATTGCAATGCTGAAGTCATGGATTTTATATTTATATGCGCATTCAATTATGTGTTTTTTTTTCGAATCTAAGTAAATTTTCTTTATTTTATAATATTTAAGAAAATTAATATATGTGTGTATGTATGGATGTATTATTGTTTTTAGTACTATTTTGTTTTTTGTAAAAAATCTGAAAAATAATTTATTTAGTAAAAATAAGGTAGAATATTATGCGCGTATATATAAAAAAGCGAAAAAAAAGCTTATTGTCGCATTAAATTTATGATTATAATACTTGTAGTCGAACTTGTAGATTAGATAAATTAAGACTAAGTTGAAATAAAAAATATGTACACACATACATATTTGTACATACGTACATGTGTATATTGAATAGATCTATTAAATAAGATCGACTGACAGAATTGCGTAAAATAAATTCATGTATGCTTCAAATTCATGTATGCTTTTGGAAATTTATTATTTTAGTTTAATATTAATTGGGAATTTCAAATAAAAAACTAGATTTGATAATTTTAAAACTTTTATATAAATGTTTTATAACGGTTTGAATTTTTGAATTACATATAAAATAAATTACAAAAATTTGTCAGATACCTATGGTAACTTTTTAATAAGTTCATGGACTTTAATAGTAATAATTAATTGCTTAATTTTGTTGAAAGGTTTTTAAAATATTTTTATATTAATACTTGGTTGTATTAATTGTTATTAATTCTAATTTAATTTTTCTTATCAATTATAATTTTTCATATAATTTTCATAAGATTAATATTTGTGTATCTGTCATTGAATATTAAATTTTTTGTTGGAAATGAATAAACGAAAAAGTCCATTGTTCGATTTTTAAAAGCAAAAATCTAATTGATTAACTAAAAGAAGATTTTCTCTTTATACAAATCCATGCATTGTATAAGCTATTGAACTGAATCAACTGTTCGGCGTTTGTCAACACAAAATTAGTGTAATTGACCTTTTTAATAATATTTTAAGAAAAAGTGTGCATACATGTATATTATGCTTTTATCTTGTTCCGATAATAAGCTTTTCACGATTATTTCAAATGAAATGAAAAAACTAGAATTAAAATATAAAAAATGTTAAAATGAAAAATTTCTAAATTTATATTGCTTTAATTTATAAACTATTGCAAAAAATCTACATAGGACGAAAACAAAAATAGTAAGACATTTTTACATCAATGCATATGGTCAATTTGATTTGGATGAAAAATTAGGTGTTATAATTTAATTTAAAGGAGGGGCATTTCATATGATTGTTTTGCATGATTCGGATACTCTTTATTGGATATAATTATGTATGTAGCTATTCGGATTTATTTTTTGTTTTTGGTTATTTTGAGTTTTTCTTAGATGCCATTTGAAAAATTTTTAATTTAATTTTATGAAAATAATTTTTAAGTTCTTATATAATGTTTTTTTTTTTTTACTTACAATCTAGTACAAAATTAAGAGTATTTATCATTTTTTGTATGTTCCATAAATTATTTTGGATTTTTTTTTTAATATAAATTTTGAAAATATAAATGAAATTTGTATTTATATTTCCATTTTTTTTTAATATCTCCTTATTATTATACAATTTAAATTTTGATCACATTCCAAAACGAACAAATTTTTTATTTTTTTCTTATTTTCATTAAATATTAAATTTTTGTTTAAATTTTTAAATTTAAAATTTGATTTTTTTAAAAAATACATACAACTATTAAGTCAAATTATATATTTTGTTTTTAATTCTTTTTAAGAACATTTTCACGTTACTCTCTGTTTTATCAATCTTAAATACTATAATTTTGAAAATAAAGAATGAATAGTAGAAAAAATAATTATTTTATATTGATTAGAAATAATAAAAAAGAAAATAGTTATTTATTAAAGTATATTAAAATAAAAAAAAATATTTATATGTATAAAGTTGCGTTAGACGCTGGCATTTTCCAAAAACAAAAACAAAAAAAATACAAAATAAATGCAAATAAACAAATATTTTATTTTGTATTACAGTTTTACTTCATTCCGTTTTGAATTTAATTATATTAAATTTAATAATTTTTAAAAATTTTTATCTCAGTTTTGAAAATTTTATTTTTTTTTGTAAATATAAAGGGTTTTTTTTTATAGGTTATAATGATATATACTGTTTTGTATATATATATATTTATATGTATGTATATATATATTTATATTTAATATAATAATATGAAATCTTAACACAATTGAGTTTGTCTTTTTATGTTTTGTTTTTTTTTTTTTATAAATTCAATTTCTGTTTTTTGCTTTTTCTCTGTGATGTTGAGGAATTATTTGCTTGGGTTCATTTGGCAGCTTCTGGTGGACAATCTGGTTGATTTGATGGATGAGCTGCACGAAATGCTGGATGCCCTTCTAATTCACGATCTATACGCAATATAATTGGATAAGGACGAAGATCAACATGGAATCTAAAATATAATAGTTATTTTTATTAAAAATAATCAATTGCAACTATGTATATTTAATTGTTATGAATTGATTGTTTTTATATTTTATTATTATATATTGATTTGTTTATTTATAAATAATATATATATATATACCTTCTAGCATTAAAAACTTGTGGTACCAAACAGCAATCAGCCATAGTTATTTCATCACCAACACAAAATTTACCAGCTGATGTTGATAAAACTTTTTCAATTGCTCGAAATCCTCTTGTTATCCAATGTTGTGCCCATTCTTTTTTCTTTTCTTCACCAACATGTATTAATACTATTAAATTTTGTAATGGTTGTATACCAGAACAAATTATTTCACATAATTCCCGTACTTTGGCACGTTTATGGACATCTTGAGGTAGTAATGGACGCTGTGGACGAGTCTCCTCCAAATAATGCATTATTGCTAGTGATTCAATCAATGTGTGACCATCTTAAAATTGTATTTAAATTATTTTTTTTTTGTTTGTATTTCAGTGTTAATGAAATTTTAGAATGTTATTAAGAAAATATTTAAATTTCAATATACCAATTTGTAACGCTGGAACTTGCTCCATTGGATTAACTTCACGGTATTCATTACAGTGTTGTTCTCCACCAGATTTAATTAAACTGATTGGTTTAATGTCATATGGTATTTCTTTCAAATTTAGTGCTATACGAACACGCCACGAGCAGGAGCTCCTCCAATATGAATAGAGCACCGGCTTATCATTTGTAATTGTTGATGAATTTGTTGTTGAAATGAAAGAAGTAGAAGAAGAATTCATGATTTTAAAATTTTTACTTTTATTTAAATTTTGTGTTGCTAACAGAGTAAAAGATTTAAATCGACTGATATTTTTTAAGAAATTTAAATTCATTCTGAAGATACAAGTTTTTTTTTTTTGCTATTTATATAAAATAATCTAGACCTGTCTGATTTTGTTTTTTTTTATCGGTATTTTTTATTTTTGCCTCCAAATGAAAATTTTAATGTTTTTATTATTGTATTTATTTTTTATTCAAATTAAGATAACATTCTCTTAAATTTTTGCTTTAGAACTTGTTTTTTAGAATTTATTATATAAATTTTGTTTATATGTACTTATGAATATAAATTTTGATATTAGCTTGTATACTCTAGTTTTACGCATATATGAAGAGTTTTACTATTCTATAGAATCTATATAATACTACTTAAAGGTATATAATTATATGATGATAAGCTTTATATTGATGAAGCTCTGAGAGTTCAGGTGTTTTTGATATGAAATTTTAAATTCAACTGAGAAAAGCATTATTTTCAATTTATACTTCTAAGTGCAACTTATTGAAAATTTTATGTACATGTATAAATTATATGCAATTTAGTATTTAAAAAAAAATTAAAAGCTCAACATATTTATTACAAATAGTGATTATTATTGTGCAAATAAAATATATAACTCTATATTCAATGCTGATAATTTAATAAAAGATTCGTAAAGAGATTGAGAGAGCTTTAAAATAGTAAATTCCAGCTTGTGTATAACATATAGAAAAGCGAAATATACCTTACAGTTTTATTGTTTTCTAATTAAGTTTATTATAATTTGTATTAAAATTGAAACATAGCTTTGTATATATTAAAAAAGCTTTGACTATATTTTATTTATCATTTTATAAACAACAAGAAAGTCACATTTAAGAATGCGCAAATAATTCCATACCCATAATTCCATACACGGTCCGAGATCATTTAAATGTTATAGAAATTTATAAATTAAGCAATTTACTGTATGATTTTAGTTATAATTTAACAAAATACTGGAGTGGAAAACATTGAAAAATTTAAAATCTTTAAACTTTTTCAGGGGCCAATTACGAACTAATCTAGGTGTAATCTACTTGTTGAACAAGTCAGATTTAGGTAGTTTCCTTGTTTCCTTTCATTATTTTCGATTTCATTATGTTTGCAAAATAATTAATAAATCATTATCATGAAAATGAGGAGTAATTTATATTTCTAGTCTAATAGTATAGAAAATAAAATTTTACTAAATGAACCACCCCTTGATATTCATTGTGATCTTTTTTTTTTTGTTGCTAATTTATTAAATAATTTAATATACAATAAGAGATTTCATTTTGGATCAATTTAATAACTATATTTTATTTGAAACTTCTTTGCACCTCTCTTTCTGGCGTCTTATTACCCCTCAAAGTAAAGCTTGAATATTACAGTAACGGTAACATTTTCCCATGTACATGCTTATAACTAGACAAAATTGATTTTCAGTCAGTTTCATTCGTTATGGTTTTTCTATTAGGTAATTTTTTATTAATAAATTATCATTATGAAAAATTTCTCCTAAATTTATGCAAAATTTTATGGTAATAAGAGAAATTGTTTTAATAGAATGTTTCTAATATTTATACCTGCAAAAATATGTAAAAAACACAAATTCTGTTAAATTTAAATTTTTACATTTACATCGAATTTATTCTTTTGTCCTAATTTTATTTAATATGAACAGTAAATTTTGTATTTTTATTTATTTTTAAGATTTTTTAGGTAGGGCATATGAGAAATGGTATAAAATTTATTAAATTGCAAAATCTTATAAAATAGTTTTCATAATTATACGAACCTGTTGAGTTTCATTATTTATATATTAAAAAAAAATATTTTTCCTCGTTTCATTACAAATTTTCAAACTCATCTCAAGATTTCTTCAAAATTTCTTTTTTACAATTTCAATATTATTATCTAAATTTTATTGGGGGATAAAATGAATTTACAATCAAAGAGGAAAAAATTCCTGTGAAATTCTCAATGTTCAAATATTGTAAAAAATAAAACAATGAGAACCGAGCAAGAAAAAACCAAGAAAATTGGGTACATTTCTTAAAAGAAAAATTTATAAATTATTATTTTATATGTATACATACATAATAATATGTTATGTTTACATATACATGTATGTATGAAAAAAAAACATGTTATAATATTCTTGTTATTAAAATTCGTATCACAGGTGGATTTAATATATATGTACGTATATGTTTGATACATTCATATATATGAGAAGAAAGTTCATTGTCCTAAATCACTAAATCATAATAATAAAAATAAAAATTTCAGGTAAAATTAAATTTTTTCTGAAAAAAAAATAATAAAAATGGAGATCGATGACCTCAAAATCAATATATGTATGTATACATGTACATACAATACAAATAAATATATATGTAATATTATTATATATATAGACAGCGCATAACATATGTATATAAATACATATAATTATTTACATAATTTGTTATTAAGCCTTTAAGCACAATATAAAAAAAAAGAAACAAATGAAAAAGAAAAAATATAAAAAATGAAAAAAGGATATTAGAAAATGAGGAAATATTATTATGTTAATAAATTCTTTTTAATTATTTTATTCGCATTATATAACACAATAATATTGTATGAATTGTGAGTCTCCACATGTATTTGTAAATTTATAATAATATTCATTTTTTAATTTTTCCTTTTTATATATTTTTTTATTAAAATTTGACATGACATCTCTCTACTTGACTATCTATATACATTTTGAATTAATTTAGTATGAGTAATTAATGTTGTAATTAAATAAATAAGAATTAAATACATAAATGTATATGTATAAAAGCGATACGTATATGTATGTACGTATATTAAAGTATTTATTTTATTTAATGTTTCTGTTTGTATTGTATTCTGTAAATAATCAACAAAACAAAAAAAATTTTTATTATTTTACTCTTTTTGACACATTTTAAAAAAAGTTTGCTCAATATTATTATTGAATAGTGCTTATTATTATTATTTCATTCTGTCTGTCTGTCTGTCTGTTTACAAAAATTCAACGTTAACGATACAAGATGAAACTTTGTGCGCCGATAGATCACTTATAATGAAGGTATTACTTATCAATAATTATATAAGAATTTTTATATAAATATTTTATATAATTATTGATAAGTAATATAAAGTTTTTTATATTCACTTTTCCAACTTTGGTCAATAAGAAAAAGTTTCAAGTTTCAAAGTCGTAAAAGAGCAAGCTTTTTATTTTTTTTGTAAACTATCATATCCAAAGCAAAAGTAATTTGTAAATTCTTACAAAAGGTCAGAAATTCTTAATTCTATAATAAAAAAAAAAACATCAGTGTATCCAAGTGATCCTTCAAACTGTAATAAAAAAACTGGTTTTTCTTCAATTTTCATTTTAATTTTCTTTCTACGAGTATGCAATAATTCAGAAGTAGTTCAAATTTTAACTCTTTTTTTATTTTATTTTTCTTGCTTACTCCTCAATTGTTTTTTTTTTAAATTTGCAGAATGTCAATAACTAAATTCGAGCTCTAACAACTAAATTCGAGTAAGAACTTTTCGAAAATAAAAGATAGCACCTAAATGTATGCAAAATCATATAGAAGCTAGAGTATTGCTATTATACAATAATTTTCATTATTTAGACTTAAATCAATAAAAAAATATCTAGAAGCTACTCCAGCAGGAAATGTGCTATCCTTACAAAGATTATTATTGAGAATATTATTTAAATATCTTAAATTTTCTATTATCTTTTCACGTCATATTTAAATATACATAGCTATATAAAATCTATATCTTTCTTATTAAAATATTACAAAATACCTACAAAATATTAATTTATTCTTTTCATTATTTTGAATATAGTACCTACTTAAAACAGTATACTATTTTGTTAATGTATTTGTTGATAATAAATAATGATATACATTTTTATGTGGAATACATAATAATATAGTTATGTATAAATCTTTAAATAGAGAAGTAAATAATAACAATAATAATAATATTAAAAGTGAAATGTAAGAAAAACAAAATAATCAAAAAGAGAAAACGAAGAATGACAGCGAAAAGTATAGGAAAACAGTTTTTAAATAAGTTATTCAGCTGTAAAAAGTTCATGTCCTTAAGGATCGTTAACCTTGCTCATACTATCATTCTTTTTTTTTATATTCTCATATTTATTTTTTTTTTTGATTATGTATTTGTTTTTTTTTTTGCTTTTTGTGTGTTGTGAGAAAAAATCCAGATAAATATTTAATAAAATAAATAAAATTTTTTATATAAAATCATTTTAAATTATATTTGTGTAGATGTATATATATATAGTATCATTATGTATGTATGTATATATGTACATAGTAATAAATTAGTTTATGTAGGTATTTAAATATAAGATATTTTATTATATTTTTAGAGTAAAATAAAAAAAAAGGAAAGAAAAAACAAAATATGCTTAGAAATTAAAATTCTAACGAATCAAAAAAGAGAAATAAAAATTCTAAAATTCTCTTATTCTATCAATAATTATATTTTTCACATTAATATACAAAATATATTATGTACATATAAATATATAATTACATATATATATATATATAACAAAAATGCCTGCCTATTTTTATTATATTATATAAACAAAGTTTGGTAATTATATATCAACATTATTTTTCTAAATATGTATAGGTAATTTAAGTATATATATACATATATATATATAGATATGTTTTATATAATACATATGATAATTTTTATAAATATAATGCAAACAAAAACAAAGTTATATTAAAAAAAAAACATCCTTAATATTATAAATATAAACTAAATTTCAAGGACCTTCATTTACTTTGTATATCAATATATGAAAAATGATTTCTATACATACAAAGATATGTATATATATATCAATATATATATGTATATATATCAGCATATATATATATATATATATATATATATATCAATAAGATATATGCACATATAAAATTTAATTTATTTATAAAAATTTATCCTTATATATTTATAATTATATAATATATAGTAAAAAAAATTAAAAAAAAAAAAC